AATTACATACTATTAAATGTTTCCTACGGTTTCAGATACTTAAAATAAAAACAATTTACCTATATCTGCCTGCCAATCTCTACAACGACCTTATGGAATAAAAGATTTTGGAGACACGTATGGGCGATATTATGGACAGTATATTGATGTATATGATGTAATCAAACAATGGGTTTTAAGGAAAATAACTATAATAAAAAACAAAAACTACGGAAAACAGACTACGACAGCGAAAAAGAGCAAAGTGGCAATTGTAAAAACAAAAGTATTAAAATAAAATCTTTAAAAATAACTTAGGAGTTTGCAACAACATGTTTACGTAACTCTATTAAATCCTGATTTTAAGAAGTATATAACATAAATGTTTTATAATAAAATTGACAAATATAATCCACAGCTTTGTCAACTTAGTGATATAAAGTACTCTACCTATCAATTTAAGATATTCCATATTTATGTATGAAATTTCCTTCAAAACCTTTTAAGCGTGATTGAGTAATAATCATCTAAACATATAAATATTCATAACATTGAGTAGGATTATAACTCTACATAAAACAACTCTATTTTATGTTTTATATATTTTTATTGCTCGTCTCAATATTCATTATGAGTTATTTGGACTATGGTAAGTATGGCCAAATGGTATTTACTTATAAATAAACAACTAAGTAATTGTTTCCTACAAAAATTATCTACAATAAAATATATCTTTTTTTTTTTTATTTTCATTAATATGTAAGCACTATAACTCTAGATATACCTAAATTGATAATAAAATAGGTACTAACTTATTATTATACTTCTTCACAATATAGGAAGGATCGATAGGTAAAATAGGTATTAGGGGATTAAGAAATTTTATGTGTACCCAAGATAAATAGGAGCGATACGATAACCACCCTTTAACTGCTACTATCGGATATAAATTTCTATAAGCCTATGGTTATGGACCACTGGGGAGGTCACGAGTCGTCTTTCATTTTTAGTTGGACCACTTAAATTTAATTGACAGTTTATTTTCTAGATTTAAATGTGGTAATTTGTCGATAAGTTTTGATTCCAAAATATTTTTTTATTAACTAGATGTTATTTTGCAGGAGTACATATCACTGGTTTAATTACAAACTTGCCTCGTTGCTTATTTAACTCGTTCAGAAATGAAACACGTCTCGCAATATATGCGTGGACCGGATAACGGTCGTAGATTGAAAATAAAATAATCCTAAAAACATTTATAACATACCTTAATTATTTATTATAACATACATTATTATAACATAAAGCATATTTCGTGATCAAAATCATAATTTCGCAACCAGAAGCATACGGCCCGACTAATAGTAAATGGTTACCGTATCCTATGACATAGCGTTCATCCAATACTGGGGATGTGTTATTGAACCTTAAGAAGCCTTATTACTCCCTTTTTGAAAAACTCCATCAACCGATAAAGTAAACCAGAAACCGATCAGTTAATAAAAAAGTTGAATTAATAAAAGTAATAAATGAAACACGTTTTCAGATAGAATACAAATAAGCGACTTGTGGTAGTTATTAGACGCTCTCAGCCGAAGTTTTAGATTGGTTGTTAGGCTTAATAAATTGCTTTCGTAATTCGGTAACGAAGTACTTACTTACCTACCTATAATAAATTAAGTTAGTTCCCCGTGCTTTCTATCATTTATGAGGTTAACTTTCGTAGTAATTATTTAGTGTCTTGTAGAAATCGGAAGAATGAAAAGATTAACACAATAACACAACTCCTTATCTACCTGCCGAATCGCATTTTGCCTTTTTTTAACCCATCTGCCCTGGATTACCACCAAAAGAGATTTTTCTAGAATCCTCGATCCCCGTGTGCGTTGTCAAGAAAATCATACATTGGAATTACCTAACCATAACTTCCAGTCCTACACCAAATCCTTTACAATGCAAGCTGCTAGACTTTGGAATTCTCTCTGAAATTATACCTGAATGGCGCAAACCGTTCATGCCTTTAAAGCTCAAACATAAAGTAATATTTACAATTGACAGTAGAATTACTTATGTGTATAGTAATTATTCTATATATATATATATATATATATATATATATATATATATATATATATAATATAGTAGCCTATGTTCTTCCTCACGGTTCAGTGGTTTTGATGTAACATACACATTTCCCATCACCGCTCTGCTCCTATTGATCGTAGCGTGATGAATATGAATATGTATGAAATAATACACACATGCACATGAAATTTAAAATGAATATAGTAAACTTAAATGATAAAATAGACAACTTATAGGTACACACATGCACATAAAATCGTATTGACGTTGAAATAAAATTAATTAGTTAAAGTAAATATATAAAGAATAAATAGATGATTGAAAATAACATTATTAGTCATACAATTAATAATTATTCGGTCACACACAGCATTATGAAATTGTGGATTATCTACACACATCCATTTTTTTTTTTTTGAACATTATTCCTTTAATCACTTTGTTTTAATATCTTAAATGTTCTCCTACGCTAGCTGAAATCCCTAGCAAAACCATAGCTAGTCCTAAATCATATTTAGCAAAAATCTATTAATGTTTAAATACATTCTGAATTTATTATTTGCAAAACTATACCTAGCTATTCACTAAACCTATTGATAAAAGTTCTTCTCAATTCCAATTATTTTTGCTAGCTGAAAACCCTATTAAAACCCTCGCTATTCCTATATCTAATGTAAAATTTAATTTAAATTTTTAAAATTGAAACTTGATTATAATGAATTTAAACTACTCTAAGCTGATTGAATCCTATTCTATATATTCTGAAAACACGAGGAAATAATATGAAGTCAAGAAAACGGAACGGACTCACTGGATTACGCCAACCTCGAACCTGCTACACGCCAATCAGATACCAGCAATCAGGAACCCGCATCACGCCAACCAGGAACTCGCAATTCACTCCCGAATTTAATTAAATTAAACACTATAAAATTTAAAATAAATGAACCAAGCGAATCGGGCAGTCTCGACCAGCACGGAAGGGAGCTTTCCTTACGGACCCGATCAGTGTTCTTCCAATTTTTGCTGCAAGCGCGCCAAATGAGAAAAAAGAGTGAGACCCTCCATTCAGGCTCTTTTATAGGATCTCCCCTCGTCATTCCTTCGTCACTCTATCCTTCGTTCATTTTTCCCTCCAATTTCCCAAAACTTCATTCAATTCATTCCTATTCGTTATCCCCAATTTAGGTTACCTATGTGCTCTATTTCTATTAGTTCGTGCCAAAATACCACGCTTTACATTTTCCAACTAACTTCATAAATTATAAATGTATTATTCCTAAACAAAATCATTCAGAATCAAAACATATACTAATATCATAGTTTTATAAAATTAATTAAATATATAATATAAATTTTAATCTATGATAATATTCATTACTAATGAAACGGATAGACATACAATCGTATCCTTTCTTGCATTTTTTTCCTAGTCAGGAGATAAATTTAAATTCTCTTCTTCCCGCCTACGTACATAAAATATTATTCAATTCATAGTTTATCTATAGTAGTAAATTTAGTGTCCATTTAAATAAATTTTTCCTTCCAAAGTTAATTAAGTAATCATATTTTCACTATAATGCTTTCTTATTTTATTACTAACTTTTATCATAAAATAATATCATATAATCAATGAATTTCTATTAATTTATATACGCAAAGTGCCCTCTTCACGTAAAAATGTAGAATATGTTTCCAACTTCCGATTCTTCTGTAAAATTCGACAGTGATATAATTAATTTTAAGTCCTTATTGTATGTCCTATAAATTCACTAAATCCTACTCAAAATTTATTATATATTCTAATTTATAAATTTTGTAACATATATGATTTTCTTATGAAAATGGGAGTTTTATTTATTCAGATCCATTATGACGTACAATTTTTTTTATACCACTGAGGTGGCAACCAAGCATACAGCCCACCCGATGGTAAGTGTTTACCGTAGCCATTTTGAACATCGATTTAACAATGCATCAATATCAAACATCATAAATTAATATTAAATGGACCTTCATATAGTATTAATTTTGTTAGATCGTTTTCTAGCTTTATACATTTTTCTGTAAACATTAAAATATTAATTATTTAAATTTCTTGCAAGTTCAACACCTCTCCACAAGATGACGTTAAATGTATTTTTACATATATGACGAACCGTTACATAGTTAATAAGTATTGAGCCTCTACTGAGCAATTTTAGAACTAAAATTAATAATATGAAATCTGTGTTCCACTATTATTAGCTCATAAATGGCGCTGTTGGTAAAAGTGCATTTTAAAACAATCGAAATATTACAAATAACGTCATCTAGGCTTATATGCAGGTACGAGTACCGTAACTCGTAGAGAACTTATTAACAATTTCGATGCTTCTTCTAAATATAAACAGATGGCACACTGTGGTGTGAACTTGATAAATACAAATATAGCGTCAGATGGCGACATATAATTTGTTTTTTGACAGTTATTACATTCAAAATCAAAAGTATACATCTATTTTAATGAAATTTGGATAAAATACCTTTGTACGATATATAGATTATTGGGGTTACCATTCCATCTTATATAAAAACAGTGCGTTAAATAATTCAATTGGGTGCTTTTAGATATTTTGGAAGTCCGGGAATGAACTAAATAATCATCATCTCAGCCGCTAACTGACCACTGCTATTCAGCAATCGCCCAAGGGGGAGGCCAATATTTATTGGCCTCGCCCTTGAGCGATTTTGCCACTAGTTACCACTCTTGGCAGGCGAGTTGCCAATCGCAGTTAGTATTTGGTAATATATTCAGAGAGGCACTGCTGCCCATCTCTCAATCATTAAATTCCTTTAGTCGCCTTTTACGACACCCACGGAAAAGGAAGGGGTGGCCCATTCTATGCTGGGACCACAAGGCTAACTAGATGAAAGAAATGAAAAATAAAAAGAAATACATTTTACGATTTATTTTAAATACCAAGTGAAATAAACTAAATCTTATGTTAATGTATCCCTTACAGGGAATAATTATTTTAATGACAGGAAAGCATATTTATGACTAAAATAGGTTTTAAATACTACGCTAAAATAAAACTGGCATGATACTCAGTCGTGTATAACATTAACAATCATCTTATGTACTTAATATATTGCTATCTTTTCACAACCGGAACCAAAAAATAAATATGATGTTAACGATAATTTATGTCCTATGTCCCGGTATAATTGTCCATTGTTGAATACAGTTCACTTCTCCCCCATAGACTGCCATAAAGAACAATATTGAGCCGGTATTGTTATGTTCAAATAACAATGCATAAATTAATATATTTGCACATATGTAATTTCAATGACAAATAATTTACGTACAATATATTACGACGAAGTGTAACTTCAATGAGATCTAAATTTAAGACGACAAATTTTTTTCTTTATAAATTAATGAAATACTACATAAGACCAAGCTGGATCGTCCTTTAAATAATATTAATTAAACTTTACCCTAGAATCTGTTATAGCGTGTTAACACATAGATTTTACTCAGCAACAAGCAGTTTTTCAATCGGCGAAAAAAAATTTTAGCTTCGATCGTCAAAAAACTAGCAAATTCTAACGATTACAAAATAAAAATCGAAAATTGATTAAATATTGACGATGCCAATGCTTAACATTTGAGAATCTCTTTATCGTAGTCGCTCAAAAATTCGCTTCTAGTCGCTTCAAAATACCTGAGGATAATTTTATTTTTCATGAGAAGGGAAAGATGTTTCTAATCTGATACCAGCACAATCCGAAATGACATTTAAATTGTAAGACACGAAATCATTATTAAGTAAACCGCGCGCGAAACATCTTTGTTAAAGTAGGTATAAAAGTTTTATAGGATAATAACAATTGAAAGTATATTAATGTATACGTACATACAAACAGTTATGTTACAATTATCCTATTACAATCTAATATTGTACTTGTTCACTGCATTAAATAAATGTATGAAGATATATACTAAGTGATAATGAATGTCATTAACATTCTTCTACCAACCAGTCATTGTATCAAGTGCATTTTTTTTTTTTTACAAAATATCTTAAAACAGTATCAATAAATTATAATTTTATCCAGTCATATTTTAAATAATATTAAATTCGCAATTTACAATAAAAAAAATATAATAGGTCCAATTAAATTAGCCTTAACAATTCTGTCAAAAAAAAACTAAACAACAAAATAATTTAAAAATATAGAATTGTATAAAAGACATTATATTTTATTTCTAACATACAGATTGTGTTGAAATCAACCTGCACCAATGTTCTATATAAAGATGACAAAGACTTTTATAAATTTATATAATGTTATATATAAATATAAAAGACATAGATGTTGGACCATATATGTAGGTTTATGTGAAATAGAAATAATACACTAGATACTATATGTTAGTATTTAGAGTCACAACAATATTATCGGCATTTCAACATTAGTGACGAATAATTAAGAAAGTTTATACCGAAAGTCGCAACGTTTGTAACACCTGATAAAATTCAAACATAATTATTTATAATCTTTACTAATATTATAAATGTAAAAGTGTGTTACTTTAGCCTTAACGGTTACTTAGAAATTTGGACTACACGTACTATATGGGAGGGAGAAATTTATACTAATGTATAAATATGTCCCTATGGGGGGGGGGGGGGAGGGATTGTTAATAATGAAGACTAAGAATCCCATTGCTAACAATATACCTAACCAGGTCGACCTCCACGCGGTTCCCCTTGGAAACTATCATGGTTAATTCCTGATAAATTCATCATGATGGGCTAACTGGCCTGTTTTCATTTTCATCGATCACCCTTCATTGGTGCCCCGCCAACATATACCGTTAGCACAGGCGGGGTTACCATTCAAATTTCACCTATCAATAAAAAAAAAACATGTCCCTGTCACGCCAATAAAGTCAGGGGATTATTATACAATAACAGTCATATTGAACTATTACAAATATTTTGGAATTTGACGACTGAACGTATTTACAAATTTAAAAAGTAGAATATGACATAGCACATTTTTATTGTTAAATTTACATTATGCAATTTGTTCTGATTATTTTTGCAGAATTCAAATAACCATTTAATAACATAGAAAATCACAATTTGCTTTTAAAAATTGACAGGTAATACAAATGTTGCCATATTTTGATATGAACATTCTTAATTGTCACTATATCATGGAGTATTGATGATGATTGTCAACAATTTGTAAAGTTCTATAATCAATTTGTTATAATAAATTTATAACATGAATAAAATAAATTATTATAGTGTATTATAATTGAACAAGTATGACGACTAATTAAACAGTATGTGTATTTAATTTTAACGTTAATTAAAATTAAATACATTAGGTATGTTAAAAGATGAAAGACTGAATGAACATTTACTTGCATTGATTTAGATATAAATGAAATTTTATAATAAAATTTGTACCAAGCAAAGTGTTATATATACATATTAATATTCTTTAATTTAAAGAACTATATGTTACCATATGGCACCGGCATGTAAAATTTATCTTGTGTATAATAACACATCACCAATACTCCTTGAAAATTTTCATTGTATTGTGTCCTATTACAAAAATGTTCAGTATATAATTTTGCTAGGAGGTGCAGCTAAATTACCACTCATAGCTTGTTCTAATGTGTCCAAACGTCGATATGCATGCCCCCGGCTATTGCGACGGCGACCAGGTTGTCTACCTTCTACTATTAAACCAAGGACCTGCAAAACAAAATGTTTCTTGAGTTAGACCAATACAATACACTATCTAAATCGGACTCAAAAATCTACAGAGTCAAAGTGTATGTATAAGTTCATAAAAGTGGATAAAATTACCTAATCCATGTCATTTGGGATAAAGATAAATAGACAGTTTTTATTAATTTTAGAACCAATTAATAATTATAGTGCAAGAATTTTCGACAAGACAATTAATTTATATAAATATTTTGTGTTGTCCTGTATCCCACTTACACCACAGTTGAGTTAGCTAATGATAAAGAATAACAAATTAGGTACTTTCTATCTCGCTTACTAAGAGTTATGTATTTGTCAATTTCCATTTTGTGTCTAGTGTTCAATTTAATGTTTACCTATTTCAACATTTCATTTATGAGAACCCTATATTTTTTACTTTAGCCATTGAGAAATACTTACATAATGCCCAAATCATTAAAATTTAAGCAGTACAATGACAACACTCAGTTGTTATTGATATTATTATATCAGCCATTAACTGTCCACTGCTGAACATAGGTATCCACTTATTGGAGTGGTTTTGCCTATAGTTGTTGCACTTGGCAGGCAGGCATTGGGTGATAGGCAAAGTAAGCCCGCCTGCCTTATCAGTATACACTGGCAGGGTACCAGTGAGAGGTGATAGGTAAGGATGAAAAGACAAAGAGAAAATTCATCGTGATAGTTTCCAGGGGGAATTGCAGTGGAGATCAAACTGATAGGTTATATTGATAGCAATAAGGACTAACTTTCCCATTACTAACAATCCCTTCCCCCTCTGGTGGGCAGAATAGTAACTACAGTTAGTCCTTGGTGATATTTTCAGAGGGACATTGCTGCCCATCACTTGACCATTAAGTTCTTTTAGTCACCTCTTACAACACTACAGGAAAGAAAAGGGTGGTCCATTCTATGCTGGGACCACACAGAGAATTATTGTTATTGATATATTGAAAACTAAATAATCATCAGATCAACATCAGTTCAGTATTGCTGAAGATGTTATTATACCATAGACACAATAAATATAGTTAAATTAAAGAACATTACAAAAGTGAGTAAATATATATATATCCAATATTTTTGTTTATAAGAAAAAAAAGGAGTACAAAAGTAGCTTTCAATATGAAATGCTTACCACTTTGCTTACTTTATTCTTGTTGTGATATAGTACATACAGCAAAACTACTAGAATAATTGCAGTTAAGAAGAATGGAAAGAAATGATCATCATCCTCAGTGAAGTCTTCCGGAATTGAGTTTGGATAAAATTCTGAAAAACAAACAAGATATTTTAGAACAATATTTTAGAGCAGTAAGTAATTTAAACAAATAGCCAGCTTCTATTTAACATATTATTATGAGAACAAAGAAAAAAACTAATTAAACCACAAGTTTTGTAAAAGATATTAATATACACTTTTCTTGTAATCTGACTGATATACACAACTAATTGTCTTAACAGGAATATTTTTTCAATAATTTTCCTCGCAACTCTAAATTGTAAAGACTTTACGTTGTGTACTAAACAGCAATACATCTGAGTAAACAGTTATACTATGAAATTTCTGAAGCCTGAACATTTATATTGATAAATACATTACTACGTTTTTATATATCTATGTCAAAATGAGTATGATCAGAAAACTAATAACATAGGTTACCACATTGAGATTTTTGAGTAAATTTAGATTATTTAAAAAATAATGGACTTAAACATTTATAAAATAAATAATAAAAGTCTAAGGGGTAATTCCTGATATTAACTGAATATACCCCATAAGATGTCTAGTTACAATTATATATGTTAGTACATAAAAATAGGAGTTTGACATCATTTAAAAAAGAAATCACCTCTCTGAGAAATGTCTGCACTGAATGAATTAATTGCTGATTGAATTCTCTTGGGTGTATTTTTATTTTCATCCTGTACAGGTTTAAGGTCTAAATCAGATAAAACAGGATCATCACCATCATCATTGCCTTGGGTATCTGGTAGACCTTCTTTGCCTTCTTCGGAATCTGTAAAATAAATTATAATAAGACTTAAATATAGTTTTTCACATCATGTTTATTAACCTGATATGAGATATATATGACACTATATATCCTAGTGATGCAAGTGTTATAACATATTGTATTTTTATGCCATCTTCACACAGACTTGTTTACATATGTAACTAGTAACACGTTACAGATTTTTAATTTACTCCAAATGGAATCAAACCAGCTAAATTGAAAGTGTAATGAACACTAAATAACCTACATTACTAGCAAAATACCTTGCCAGGTCAACCTCCATACTGTGGGGGAGAAGGGATTGTTAGTAATTGGGATTAGTAACCCCATTGCTAGCAATATAATCTGTCAGATCAACCTCCTCGTGGTTCCCCCTGGAAACCATTGTGATTGATTTATTGTTAGATTAGTCACAATGGGCTAACTGACCAACTTCACTCTCACCTATCATCTCTCACTGGTGCCTTGCCAGTGTATACCACACGTGGGTAACCATTCTATTATCATCCATTAAAAAAAAATCTCCATACTATTCCCTCTAGAAAACATATTGATTGATCCCTGGACAATTTATCATGATCTAACTGACCTGACTTCACACTCACCTTTTATTATTTGTTGGTATCTCATTAGGATCATAATATTTTGTCCGTTTTTACAGTAGAAACTATGTTCTGAATGTCTTTGGAATCAAAGTCGGAATAGACATGACACATACTTTTTTATTGACTTTAGTGACCTACACCATGTCATAATGCATAATCATACTACTATTTAGAATTATAACCACTTGACTGATACAACTTTTCTCATGTCGCATTTAGTTACTGGAAACTTATCAGTATAACATAAAATTAATATAAGAATATAATGTTTTATCATTGGGTACTTACCTAAATCATTGCCCTGATAATCATCAGCATCATTTGGTTTTACATCCCCTTTAGGAATTTCAAGTTGATTGAGCAAGTCATTGGCACTTTCCCCTTTTTTCACATCGGGTTGAGGAATCACTGCATTATTAACCTGATCACCAGAAACACTTATTGGTACATCTTCAGGCTTGTCTTCTGCAACATTTTTTCCATTTTCAGCAATACTTTTAGTACTTTTTTCATCACTTTTTTTATTATCCGCTACAACTTGTATGTCTTCAATTTGATCTGCTTTCTCTGGTATATGAGATATATCATCAAGTACTTGAGTTTTCACAGTAGGTATATGACTAATATAATCTGTATTGGCATCTTTCACAGCTTCATCTGTTTTTATGGAATTTTGTTTGTCTGGGGTTAATTCAGTTTTTGTTTCACTTGTTTTCGTGCTCGATGTTATATCTTTAACTTGAGCATCAGTATTGTTGACATGTGTCTCATCTAGTTTAAGACCAGTAGCTGATGTATCACCCACAACAGGTTTAATCACATTGTTCACTTGTGCTGTAGGAGTAACCTGAGGATTTAATATTTCCCAGCCCCAATTATAATATTTACAATAGAAAATTGAGTCATCGCTGCTAAAATCTTCAACTTCGCATACAGCAGCACATTTCATGGGATTTTGGAAAACTAGTTTTACATCTGTTAAATATTTATCAGATAATTTTGAAAACGTCCATCTTTTAGCAGATTCGCAAAGATTTTTGACATTATATTTTTTGTTTACTTTCTCCGCATAATCCTCGGAAATGTTTATCTTGGACTGAGAAATTGCAGTGCACAATTGATTATTTATATCATAGAATATTAAACATTCGAATTTTCTTTTCATATTATGATTCGAATCATTACATTCTTGGATTTGATTTTCTATTTGTGCTACCACGAAATGATTTTCACAACGTTTTGAAAGTGCGTCGAGCAAAGCAGACAAAGAGTTATTATGTGGTGCACCCAAACTACCCGAGTACGAGTTGATTATTAATAATGCCAGTACGTAGCGTAACATTTTTTGCACACTATATTTTACAAGAATTTGAAATAATAAACATCAATTTTTTAGAAAATGTGATAATAAAAAATCAGCACACAACACACTAGATATCTAAATTGTTCATTTGACATAACAATGACAGCCGCCTATAGATATTTCCTTACTTTTTTTTTTTTTTAGTACGTTTGTTCCGTTTGGAACAGGCTAAGGTCGGAGACCATGCCTAGTCTTCAAAAAGATAATTTGTCTGGAATATAAATAGATATTTCCTTACTTGAGATTTACTTTGACATTGACAACATATATACAAAAGCAATATACCATAAACGGTCATGATTTAAGTTACATAATTAAAAACACCCGTTGTTAATAATTTAATGTGGTTAAGAAATAACCATCTAGTAGTCAATAAATTGCGGTAAATAACAGATGAAAAATTAATAGACTGTGACTTACAGAATTGATAGGTGTTTTAGGAAAGGAAAACTCAATATATATATAAAATAACTTTTATTTTTTTTCTTTTGAAATAAATCTTTATTGAAATTTAAAGTTTAAACATAAGTTGAGAATAGTACATAGCTTGTAAAGAAAACTAAAATTGGCATAAGAAATTAATAAAAATGAATTGCAATAAAATGTAAACTATAAATAAATGGGAAACGTGGAAATAAAAAAATATTTATTTTATTATTTATTCTATTATTAATTTTTATTTTTAAAAAATCTTATAATTATCTTCGTCACCGTGTACCATTCAATATTATCATATCAGCCATTATCTATCCATCTTGAACATAAGCTTTTATCATAAGGGGAGTTTTGCTAGTAATTATGCTTAGCAGGCAGATTGGCAACCGCAGTTAGGTTTTTAATAATATTTTAAGACGGTTACTTTTGCCCATCCCTCTAACGATATGTTCCCTTAGACCACGCGACAGCATTTTAATTTTCATTTTTAGAAATACTATTATTATCTTTTTACCATGTACCATTATATACTTATACATCATTCTGTTAATACATACTAAAATATAAACTCAGTATTAGACCTAACTTTGAGATTTAAATGCTCACAAATCAATATTATATTTTTATAAGTACTGTGGTACACCTTCTAGCCTGTGTACCTGCTACAAAGACATGTGCACCCGAGCTGGCATTAGTACTGATACGACTATATCACTTGTCTTGTTCAACTGGCATTATTCCGTCAGTTTGGAAGGTAGCTAATGTATAACCAATACCAAAGAAAGAAAATGATAAATCCAACCTCTCCAATTGGGTACCAATTGCCATCACTTCCTGTAAAGTAATTGAACGGATTGTCAATGATCAAATTATATCATACTTCGAAGACAACCCCATTCTACATTACCGCCAGTATGGCTTTAGAGCCATACTGGCGGTAATGAAACAGTCAACAGGTGATTTTTTACTGTTCGTTAAGCATTATTGGTGTAAAGCGCTTTTTTTTTATGAAGCATTAGCAGTTAGCCTGGACATTTCGAAGATTTGGCAAGACTCTTCTTTCCGAGTTGACATATAGTCTACCTGACTGCCTGTATTAATGAATAGCAAATTTCCATCAAAATCATATCAGCGCTCTGTCAGAGTTCTTGTAGATAGGAGTAAATCTGATCTTAAATCAATTAACGCTGGTGTACTGCAGGGCGTTGTATTATTTCCTACTCTTTTTCTTATTCATATCAATTACATGTTATCCCTTGGGAGCATCCATTGTTATGCAGATAATATTACTGTTCACAAGCAATACACAGTGCAGCGGATAGCTGGTTTGAATGAAATTCAAGAGTGCCGCAAGTTCTTGGTACAAGAAGATGACAAGACCCTTAATAAAATTGCAATCTGGGGTCGTAATAATCTCGATGTTTTTCGCTAACAAGACGCAAATGTACCTGTTTTCTACTAACCCCTTTTCATTCCTTCTCTTTCTTTTCAGGACATGCTAATAAATTTACAGGACAGATTGGTTATTCTGGGAAAGCAAATTCGAACTGATCTAAATTTAAGAAGGAAATTGAAAATGTCAAATAAATTGTTGGTAGAAAACTAGGGATTTTGAATAAAATGCATAATTTTTTACACCTGCATAACGCCATCATATTAAGTATCGTATCATATTAAGCCCAAATTAGATCTTGCGTAGAATATTTTTTCCATCTTTAGAATTATTCAGCCCAGTACATAACGAGCTTCCTCAATTTAATTCAAAGACGTGCTGTTCGAGTTATAGGAGATTGGGAGGTCTGTAACCATCTCGAATCTTTACAACTGCGTCATGATATCGCCTCCCTTAGCACTTTTGCCGATTGTTTCATGGAGCATGTTCTGGGAAATTATTTGAAATTATCCCGGGTACAGGATGCACCCTTACACTGTTGATGAGATTCATACTTGGACTAAAATCTTTAGCAGTTTAGTCTATTTTATTTATCAGTTTAAATCCTTCTAGGATCTATGTTTCCTGCCAATTATAACATGGATTCCTTCAAGAGAGGTTTGAAAAAGTGTTTATGTAAGCCGGCATAGCGTGGGCCGCAGGTTAGATGCAATCTTGTGTGGACCACACAAATAGATTTCATAATCACTTCCTTCAAGTGATTGATTCTATGTCAATGTACTGTACCATTATAAAAAAATAATCATAAGGTGGCCAAAATAAAACAAATTCGGGTAGGTTGTAATGTGTACAATTAAAAATTGTAATTTCATCATTATTAATTATTTTGTACAATCTAGGTAACTATACAAGCACGTACACATATTTTGTTCAAGTTTTAAGTTCTTTTGGATAATTAATCTCTGTACTTATACTTTAAAATTCTTTGTAAATGTAATTAAATAATATGACTATAAATTGTACTTAAAAGTAATAAGAGCACAGCAAATTTGCTGTGCAAAATTATATTCAGGCGTAATAACGCCTCAATATAATTTTCGAATACTTGTACCTAATTGAAACTTTGAGAAACCACAGTTTTACAGATTTTATTTATTTTAAATTACGTACTAATCTACTTATATCAATGTGTCTAATATTGTTTTATTTGAAATGAAAGTATCTAGTATCTTATGTATAAATAAATACAAATGCATTCATATTAATCGTATATAGTGATCTTAGAGTTTTAAGTACTGCTGTCGTTTGAGTTCTTCAAAAATGCGTAAAAAGTATATGAACTCCGTACAATCTGTAACAAAATGGCAAACTTTAATATTAAAAAAAACATTTATCAACTGACTTCGAAAGGAAGTTCTCAATTTGGTTGTATTTTTTTATGTTTATTACCTCATAACTCCATCAGTTCTAAATCGATTTGGAAAATTCTTTTTTATGTTAGAAGAGAGAATGTTTATTCTCAACTGTTGACCATATTATGCCTACTTACTAAATGTTTTATAGCTGTATTTGAAGTGTCCGTGGTTAAAGAACGAAATAAATATCATATCACGAAGAAGGCTATTCCACAATTTTACGGTAAGGTAAGGTATGTCTCGTTAGAGTTTGCATAAATAAATAGTTACGTTATGTGTAAATATAATATTCATGAATTTTTATCACACCCATAATACCTATATCAATAGACAGATACCTCTTATAAAAATTATGAAAAGCTGCCTCCATCTCATTTTGTCACTATATGACTTTTCCCGTGTGGTTTCGACATAGAATAGGCCACCCCTTTCTTTCCCATGAGTGTCGTAAGAGACGATAAGGGAGGGCGCGGCATTCTTAAAACATCTCCAAAGCCTAGTTACGATTGCCAATCCGCACGCCAAGCGTGCCAACTACTGGCAAAACCCCCTAGGGGGAGGCTTATGTTCATTAGTGAACAGTTAAAGGCTGTTATGATAATGATAATGATGACCCTTGCCTGTCCAAACGTTGCCGGTCGCTGAATTAGACTATTCTAACAGAATACCTTGAACTCTATTGACAATAATGCAAGATGACTGACTAGAGATTCAAAATTATATTTGTTCACTAAAAATTAAAGTCCAGACCAACGCTATATTTATTACTAATTATTATGTAATACCTTATTTAAGAGTGCTTCATGGGTTAAAATTTCAATAATATGCAACTTTATTTTTTCAGTAGGGGGCGGTTTGTCATCCTATACATTTGTAATTTATGTTTCTTGACTCAAAAAAATAATGTGTGAATAAGGAATATTCAAGTTTAAGAATGTACATAATTTACGACTACTTCAAATATTCAATGTCAGGTGTTAAGTCTCAGTGTCAGGTGTTCAAGGTTCAAATATAGTAATATAGTATATGTTATAAGACGAACACCTACCTATAATAAATATAATAAAAATTTTGCCGTGAAGATAAATATAGACTAGATACAATACTTAAAATTTACCGATACGAATGTGGCATTGGAGAATGGTACGATGTAACAAGCCATGGGTCTTATGGGACGTTTGATTCTCTCCATAAAAATAATAATGGTCCGTCGAAGTTTTACTGGTAATGCGAGCCAGTTCATGAAGTATACAGATTCTGTCAACATTTCACTCTGTAAATAAATTACCTACGTCAGTTTGTAAACTTGACTATATTTTGTAACTCTGTAAAGTAATAAAGTCAGTAATAATTTTAATGAATATAAAAAAAGACAATATCAAGAATAATAGTAATATCCCGAGTGACAACTGTAGGTAAATCCTAGTCATGTTGCATTTTAATATGTTTGACTAGAAGTGGATATCTGTAAAAAAAACTGAACTATTTGATTTAATTAGAAGATAACCAAACTTTAATAGTAGAAATTTAAATTTTGGTTAAATTTTTAAACTAATCCATACACCCAAAACAAGTTAATTTAAGTTTAGTAAACAATATATCAACTTTTGTTAACTCTTAACTTGAATATTATTTAATTATTGGACAAATTAGCTCAGATGCAGCACAAAAAACAATTCACGAATGTCAATGTAACTATACCTAATGTATAAGTTCAGCATAACAACATCAGTCGACTATTGCTTATAACTACCGTTACATAAATATATATTCAATAAGAGATAAATAATTAAATGTCTACCTCATAAGTAACTTCACTTCCAAAATAACAATATATGAATACTTGTAATAAGATGCAACTGATATACATCAGCATAGACAAGAATTCCACAGATAAAGGAGTCACCTGAAATTGAAATTTCATTAAGTAGGTAGTTATAGGAAGTCACATTAATTTTGTTTAAATTACAAGGGAAATCCCTTAAAGGAAATCGCTACATATTTAATCTCAATTAAAATCGGATCAACCAGTTGTTCGCTGATATATTTAAAGAAGTAAGATAAATACAAAAGTTCGTTATGCACATTTTATTTATATAGATTCCTGTAAATCTTAGCTTATTAAAGAAAGTCTGAAGTTGGTCCTTTGCCGAATAAACCTGTGGTTTTAAAAGTCTACCTACTTATTTCTTTTTCTTTTTCACTAAAGAAATTTTCCTTAAAGATTAGATTATATTATACCTGATTAAACTTTAACTAGTTGCTTAGTAATAAAATACTGACTCATTAAAGATGTTATAACGTAGTTACTGCGTCGTAGTAAATAGATCATCTTTAAATATTATTTTTACTATATATTTTCTACATATTTTAGTAAACTAGGTGTTATCTTGCGAAAGCCCATATCACTGGTTATTTGATCAGAATTATTTTCTTTAATTTCACTACTAACAGAACTATTACTGACTAATATCTCTCCTCCATAACATATAATTTTACTGCGATATATTATTCTCCAAATCGAAATACAACTTTTTTTTTTTGATGAGTGATTTCGTGAAAATAGTATGGTAACCCCGCCTGCGCTAACGGTATATCGTTATACCGGTATAGCGTATACGCTTGCGGAGCACCAGTGTAGGGTGATAGATGAGAAGGAAAACAGGCCAGTTAGCCCATCATGATGAATTCATAAGGAATTAACCATGACAGTTTCCAGGGAGAACCGCGAGGAGGTCGACCTGGTTATTATTGATCGAGATCGAGTTGGTATATTGCCAGCAATGGAATTCTCAGTCTCCATTACTAACAAGTAATATGTTGTGTATTTTATATGAAATACGTTCAATACTCTACTCGGTATATAAGTATGCATGCCATAATTTATGGCTAAAAAATTTATATTAAATTATAAAAACAAAACCAAAAAACTCAAAACCCCCCAAGGCGAAGGCCTATGTTCAGCAGTGGACAGTTAACGGATAATATAAAATGCATTTAGATAGCATGACAACAAGAGCTAAACTTATTATATTTAAATATTGGGTTATTTATTTACTTGAACTTTGTTAGGTAAGTACTTAATAAGTGTTAAAAAGTACGAATTGCCAGTATACTTTACCGATTAACAATTTATATTCATTTTTCATGTTATATTTATATATTTAACATAATATTTATTTTATTATTGAGTCTGCCTATCCCAACGAAAGACAGTTGTTATGTATATACATGTATATGCATATCTATATTTATAACCGAGAGATATTATATGCAAGTTAGTAATATAATATCTCGGGAGGAAAGGGATTGTTAGTAATGGGGTCTGACTGCCCCATTGCTAGCAATATATCCTATCAAGTCGACCTCCACGCGGTTCCCCCTAGAAACCATCATGGTTAATTATTGATGAATTCGTCATGATGGGCTAACTGACTTGCTTCATCCTTACTTATCATCACTCAATGGTGCCCTGCAAGTGTATACCGATAGCGCAGACGGGGTTACCATTTCATTGTCATCCACTGAAAAAAAAAATATCTCCTTGGTCACTTAAATGATGCACACAATTTATAATATATATTTCCTTTATAACGAGGACAGATAACAGGTAATGGGAAGAACGCATATAGATAAGTTACATTTGAACTATTTTTTGTTATAAATCTAAAAACGAGGCGCTGCCATCGAGAAGGATAGGACTACACGGTTCTATTAAATCTTGAGGATGTAACATCCAAGTATAATATAACTAATATACTCACACTAGCCATTCTATAGGCTGATGTACACAGTATCCAACCTGCTACCAATAACTGATAAAAGACAGCGTAGCCAAATATATCCTGTATTTTGTCAGCCGTTCTGAAATATATCCAGATTTCTTTTATAAATAATTGTTATACCATACCTGGGTAACTTTAAAAATAAATCTTACTTTACAATCTGCCTGTGGTGTACCAATATTTTCTTAATACGTTTCTCAGCAATGACTGTAAAATGGCAGGATAATGCATTCGCTTCTTCTTGACTTTTCATTACTAACCTCTGAAGTTCGACCCTAAAAATATAAAACTCGTGAAATTTACGAGTAGGTTACATCTGCGAATGAATCAAACGACTTGTATAGTTGCCAGAAGTGTGAAATTTTCCAGAAGTTTCTTTACTGTACCAGTAAGAAAATCGGATTGATTTACGTGTATTCTCGACAAAAATACAGTTACACGTATTACTGTATATATATTTACGCGTATTATTCTTATGTCAATCCAGTTTGCTTAAAGTTAAAGTATAATATCTACTTATGAAATGCATATGATTTGTCAAAATTGTAACGAAAATTTGAAAGATACCTTCTGCTCTCTTATTCTGAGTACACCTTCTGAAACTTAGGCCTATTCAAAGAGTTTTATAACTTAGCTTCCATACACTATAGTAACAATATGTAACACCTATCATATAAAATTATCTCAACAATTTTCATATTATCAATATAGGTAATAATAGTATTACTTTATACTACGATAGTGGCAAACAAATATGTGGCCCGTCTGACGGTAAACGAGGTTACCGTAACCTATCGACGCCTGTAGCAACAAGGATATCACTCGCGCGTTACCGACCCTAAAGTAGGTATAAGTAAATACTGTTTTACACCCGGTTTTGTTACCATAAACATACATGAGTGTGATTTGGTTTGTTTTAGTACATTAACTTTAATACTATAGTTTAATGACAGTAAGTACGCTGGTTAATTTCTAGTGAATATGCCATGATAAGTAAATTAATCCGAGTTCATTCTCACTTATCATTAATCACAAGTATCTCGTTAGTGTATACCAATAACGTAGGCAATTACTATTCTATTTCTATCCCATAAAACAATTTCTCGTGTTCGTTTGGAATTTCCAGCATTCGACTTAGATATTTCTGTCTTGCGTCATTCGGACTAAAGAACAGAGCCTGTTTTAAATACGAACTAGTTACTCAGTGGTATAAAAAAGAAACTTACGAATATAAAATTGTAACATTCTCAAGTATACGTTCTCCAGAGTAGACATAATGTCACATTAAGTGGCTAGTAATGTATAATTTGAATATTTAGGTATAGAGGCATACATATGAAGAGTTACAAATAAAACTACTGATATATTTATTACATTTTCCCTTAACTACTTAGTTCCATACTATTATAGAGCTAAACAGCATGAAGAAACTCCTGGGACATTACTTAAAAGTTTATTATTAAATTGTGTTTCTTGTATTTATTCTCAAATTTTTTATATGCCGTTTTCTTTTCTTATTTATTCATATGGGTATAGGCCGGTCTGAGTGGGTATCATCAGATCGACCACGCTGTACCTCCTGGAAATTATTAATTCCTAATAAATTCGTCACGACGGGCCAACTAACCTGTTTTCATTTTCACCTATCATCCCTCACTGGTGCCCCGCCAGTATATACTGATAGCACAGGCTGGGCTACCATTCCATTATCATACATTAAAAAAAATCATATAGAAGATTAAACATATAATTTTTCTGAGGTTTCCCTAGATAATACAGTATGGAATTGTTAAGGCATAAGATTTCATCAGAGTTGACGAGGTGCACGTTATTTTTTAAAATGAATGATAATGGAATGGTAGCCCCGTCTGCGCTATCGGTATACACTGGCGGGGCACCAGTGAGTAGTGATGGGTAAGGATGAAAAAGCAAGTGAGTTAGCCCATCATAATAAATTATTTATAAATTATAAATAAATTTACCAGAGGGAGACTTTGTACAAAAGTCGATTGCTTGGGTACCTCTGTTCCATTCGTGTTTCAACCGTGAAGCAGTTGTGTTTTCATGGCTGTGTTTCGGTTTGAAGGGTGGGATATGGCGTGAATTTATTGGGTACAGAGGAATAACACCTGAGTCCTCAGGAATGGCAACGCTTGGGAGGTATCATGGGCGAAACAGTATACTCTGTTATGTCCATGGTACTGCTCATGTCTATAGGCGACGGTTACCACTTTACATCAGGTGGGCCGCCAGCTTGTTTGCCATTCTAAGTTGTATAAAAAAAAAAAATTCACTTGATACTGGACACGGCGGTTTCTAGGGGGACCCGAGAGGAGGTCGACCTGACAGGGCGTATTGCTAGTAATGGGATTACTAATCCCTATTACTAACAATCCCTTCTCCCAACTGCACGTGATTCCTGGTGTTGTTGACCTCCATAGGGCCTAGGGGCCTATGAATCTATGGCGTAGGGCATCATAAACGTTTCTATCAAACGGACTGTATACAATTAAACTGTCTTTATGATTTAAAAAAATGTCTACTTTCTTACCTGATAATAGATATCTGTGCTTTACATTGCACTAATAAAAAGACTATAAGTACATCGATGGTACTGTTGGCATAGCCTTCCCACGTTGTCTGTGTAACAATATAAAGAGCCGCAAAATAGTAACTAAAAGCAAAATATATTTTATCATTATTAACTAACTATAGTTGAACACACTGCAGAGTTGATAATTAGCAACAAACTAGCAAATAATCAAAAATAATTCAAAGCAACTCTTTGCATACAGTGGATTCTAGATATTCGTAAGTCTGATTCTTAAGAATAAGGCCCTATATGGATCTTTATCATGTAAAATAATGTAATTATAGAAATAATATATGTATTTAAATATATAAGAGGCAAAATAATCTGTTGTATCAACGAGAGACTCCTTTGATTTATTCAGTAGAATGTATTTATTTGTAATAACTAGGTAAAAAATTGCTCCTCTGCAATAGTTCATAGGGGGTAAGTGTCTAAATAATAATATGGCCATATTTTTGCATCACAATACAATTATTATTTATACCATTTAGAGTTTGTTGACAAAATACAAAAATGAAAAATAAACAAGCATTTATATTCCAAATATCCAAGTAGGTACTTACCGTGGATTTGAGTTGTATTCAAATGGCAGCCATACTGGGAATTCAATTATTTTTCCTTGAATGTGCTTTATTGTTGGATGTACAACCCAAAGTATGCATGTAATAATACACATGTAGTTAAACGTTCGAAGAACTATCAGTCCTTGTCTCCCTGCTTCCAGTAAAATCGGGCGGTGTTCTGGATCACCTTGATTATATAATGGACCTGATACAGATGGAATATGTATTAATTATAATATAACGAAACTTTGTAATAGATTATTTACTATACGTTTGAAATATATTGTTATTTCCATAATAGTAAAATGTATTTTCAGAATATAAAAATGTGATCTATATAGGAAGAATACAATCACAAAAGTGGTACACTAATGCATAATTTATCTAAAATAATAAGTACCTAATCAATTGTTCAAAAATCACTAGTAGTATCGAACCCTTAAATTTTCAAAGAGACTCAGACTCTTTTGCGTGCTCTGTCGCCTGTATAATAGAAGTATAATGCTCTCAGGAAGTGTTTAATTGGATACCTACGTCTACTTTCTATCATCGCACTATTAGCCATCAGGATGTTCATCTCCATACCTTACAACTTAGATAGTTACGTATAGTACATTTTTAGAAATACTTCCTCCCGCGGACGCTCAGATTATAAATAGGTTCCATATTGAGATTTTCTCCAGAGACTATAGCATTATGTTTTTAAAAAATAGGTACAGTTTTTTTCGGGGTCAGCAATAATCCCTGTGCATTACCTTTCCTATTGCAAGCGTCAACAAGCTACGATAATTAATTATTAAGTCGTGTTGTTTGCCATCTCAGTGACATAAAAAAATCTACAACTCTTTTCTGGCTGCTAAATCACTTATTCATTTATAATACCTTTCATAATATCGAAAACCTCTTCGATTTCATCCGTTTTCATCATTACAACCACAGCTTTGAAAATACAGTCAGTGTAGGTCAAAAATAAAAACATCGTGCTCATTACTTTATCAGCGTCGTCACGCACCTGAAAATTAACAAGAATTTTATTTATAAAAAAAATAATTAAGTACCTTGTCTTTTTTAGCGGGCTTAAAAGAAAGTCAATTCGACTCAGGTATTTTATGTCCCTATATATATACATTATATTTGCTAACATCGCAATTTTTAAACCGACTTAACTTTTTTTATTGTTACGGTTTATTTTGAGGATGGACTATAGTCAACATTTTTCTTGTAAGAGTCAAATAGTCTTATTAAATTCTAAACAATAAAATCAATTTATTTAAAATAATATAAATTACACACAATTATTTAAAAGTATACATATATTCGTATAATGTTGTTAATAATAATAATCTAAGTGGATAATATTTTAAATATCAATGTGATACTTTACTTCGTAGAGTTTCAAAAATTGTTGGATCGCATATAATACGAATAATAAAAGAATTACACGCATATAGACATAATGGATATTTCGAAATATCTTTGGTGTCTTCGTACTGAGTTGATAAAAGCCTAGCATCCTCATGATTCCCACATGTGGTGCTATACTTTTATAGGATAAATGGGTATCCATTTCGGAGCTGCCACAATTATTGTTGGAGGCAATATCACCGTGGACAACACTCTATTGAAATGTCGATACAAAGACTTATATTGACACGTAATTTTGTTTTCCAATGTTAATTGTAGTGTTGTCACTTCCAAGAGATATAATTACCGTCCAACTATTTTCATATAGAAGGATATCAATTAAGCTCGTTTAATATGGGAACCACAATTATTTGAAGGTGGTATTTGGTAATTGTTTTGAAATATTGAAATTTGAATGATTGTTCTTCTACTAAAAAAAAACTTCAATATTATTTAGCAAACACTAAAAGGTAATTTAAGTGTCAAAGATATAATTTACATAGACATAGATATCATTTATATTTAGTTTTCACTGTACACACGACGAAGCGTTCAGATAACACTGTACTAAATTTGGAGTAGTTGACAGGGGATTTTTATTAGCGGATAGTAAATTAAAACTCCAACAGTATCAGAAAAAAATATGAAAAATATAAAGAGCTGTTTTTATACAGCCAACAAAGTGACGGCCAATCTGACGGAAGTTAAAATTTTTGCTTATTTATATGTAATGCACTATGGATTTTACAGAATAAACAATGATATTAATGGTTTTTAATGCAATGAAATGGTAGTATCAGAGTGCTAATCATACGTACAACGTTCCAAAAGAGAGGCTTAGTGCGGAAAAAAGAGTCCAATTTACATTTAAATCAAGGTACCAGTGAGTGATGATAGATGAAGGTGAAGTCACGCCAGTTAATGTATTGTAGCGAATTTGCCAAAAATTAACATCACATTTTAAAGGGGTTCACGCTTAGCTTGACCTGATATGGCTAAGATGGAGACATTAGACCCCATTCCTAATGATTTTTGCTCCTAAAGAGACACTTTGTATCAAGTCTTTCTGATAAAACAATGCCAAGCTTTACGGAACGAAACTATAACAGCATCGGGTTCTACAATATTTTCTTCAAAGTTTGGCACATGATATATCGGGTATTATAGTCGCTTACTAGCTACAAATGTATATGTATGTAATGTATCGAGCATATTGCATGCTTATTACCATTTTCGTTTATAAAAAAAATCTCTTCACTGCCATTTCAAGTTCCCACAAAACAACATGTTAATACATTTACTTGAAATTAATAAACTAAAAAAGTATAAATATTTGCCTACAAAAACTATTTACTCGTAAAAAAGTAAAGGTATTATTTTGCAAATGCTAAAATAACTTTCTAAGACTAAAAGTAAATAAAACGAAAATATATAGGAACAACGGCAAAGGAATATTCGCTAACATTTCATTATTAACTCCGGTATCGTAATTAAGTATTAAAGTGACACGCCCTGTGTTTATCACACATAACAACCCACACTCGAATTCTCAAGTCACTCATTAGTGTAATTAGATACTTATAGACAAGTAATCAAGTCATATATTAAATATCAGGCGCCATAAGCTGTCATTGTTATTTACTAACATGTAGTTTGTTTTACTTTAATAATATAGGGTTGTCATATCTATATATACGACTTGGTGTGGTTTTGGGTGGTTTCACATCACGTGCGGTTTGGACCATAGTGTGAAATTGTCCAAGTACTCTCAAAAAATTATTTTATTTTAAGACAATTTTCTATATGTCTATTATTTGAAAAATATATAAAAAATTTACAATTCGAAATGCATATTAGTTTTTATTTTTGTTTTATGCTAGTTAAATTACAGACTAAATTGAAAAGCATTCTTTCATATTTTTTTTATACAACTTAAAATGGCAAACAAGCTGATGGCCCACCTGATGGAAAGTGGTAACCGTCGCCTATAGACATGAGCAGTAAATTCACGCCATATCCCACCCTTCAAACCGAAACACAGCTATGCAAACACAACTGCTTCACGGTTGAAACACGAGTGGGACAGAGGTACCCAAGCAATCGACTTTTGTACAAAGTCTCCCTCTGGTAATAGGTATATATATATATATATATATGCCTATTACTGGCAAAGGGTTATTACCCCATAACTCTTAGTAGCTGATGGGAGACTCACAGCATCTTAATATCTGCACATACACCACTTTAATATCTGCACCATTTTTCACGTACAAATTAATGAAACTAACATGCTCCGTCAATATCCGTCATAATATGGTTTCTTAAATTATTATTTGCAATACACATACTAAACACACACATAATAAACACAATGAAATGGTAACCCTACTAAAATGATACAAGTAAAAGCGATAGAGGGGATGCGGAGTGTCTCAAGAGTCTTAAGTTGCCAGTGCCGCGCCCTCGTCACGTTTACTTCGTAGATTACAAAATGAGCAGTCGTTAGCGATATGTTATTGCTCACTTAAATCTCACAACGGGTTTGTTGTTAACGACTCAGCCAACTCATATTGTGTGGATAGCCTGTTAAAACCACTGAAGTTTCGAGGTATAACAACCGCGCTATTTGTCTTTGTTTTATATGATGTCAAACATTAATATACTAGAGTAAATAGAAATATAACTTCGCTTGTTAAAATTTGTAAACAGGAAATGCATATGTTATTATTTAACTGGTTTTGCAGGTATGGTTTTGACTAAAAATGTTTACTAGGGTAAGAGTCTACTTGATGAAAAGAAATAGTCTATGTGCTGTCCACAACATAGAACTCGCATAAAAATAAAATCAATTTATTGTTGTCGTAAGAAAAACAAACTTGAATTGTCCATTTATTTATTTTTTAAATATTTTTGTAATAAATAAATAAGCTAGCATATTATTTTAGTGGAATAAAATTCGAAAAAATTACATTGCAAAATAATGCTATTATAAAACACTCCCCATAAACACTTACCTTCTTATTTTTGGTCAGCTAAATTTAATATTGATAACATGTAATACAAAGGTTCCCTAAGAGAGCTTTATCTGGCTTTGGCATTATAATAGGATCTTAATCAGGGCGATTATACGTCTGATGTATCTATATGAGTCAATGACAATTATAATAGGATTACACCGATATTGATATATAATTATATTTAATGTATGAGAATAATAGCGTAACTAAGTAACGTTAGCTACTTAAATATATAAATTAACAGTGTGTAATGTGGTCGTGTATGTACGATCATGGTTGGTTGAACATCTACATAATCAAGATTCTAAGATATATACTTAAACATGCATGTATAACTCACCTACCTTAACATATTTATTATTTGTAATTTAAATACAATATTAATGTTTGTTTTATTGAGTATTGATGTTTCTTTTGTTTACTCTTAAAGGGTCTTTCTTTCATCTTTTGTTAAATAAATTAGCTAATAAATAGTTCGATTGAAGCAATTGTTTGTACGTGAATTGGAGCTGATAGTTCGTTCTACTTTGCGTACGATTCAGCTGTAATAATTTAACTGAATTGGGCCCTTGGTTGCACTTACTGAGAGTTTGTATGGCACGGACGATCCTGCAATACTTTCTTCACCCCGTGGGATAGCTATATCTACCCATATTCTTGCGAATCTGTAAAAAATACTTTTCGTTTTATTTATATAATAAATACCCTTTCACAGCCGAATTTCCAATTGTTTTGAAAAGGATATTATCTAGTTAGTGGTTACAATTATAAGTTTCAACTAAACATATGTTCCGTCTAATCATCAATATAGAATAAAATAAATAAACTATAAAATCAATAGAAACTAATCCTATTACTATTAATATTATAACTGTAAAGTTGTAAAATTACAAGGAGTTAGTGGATGCAGGTGGCTCAGGATAGTTCTTTATGGCAGTCTATGGGGGAGACTTATGTCCAGCAGTGGAGGGATATTGGCAGAAATGATGATGATGATGATGATGTAAAGTTATAAAGATAGATGGATAGATGTTCGTTACTCGTTCGTTTGATTGAAATTTGATACATGAGTAGGTTATGCGAGCGAAGCTGCTGGATTCAGCTAATGCTTACATATATTCATACAGGACAGGAATATTATGAATATCCTTAGAATTTATTTTAACCCATAGATTCAGAAGAGCGAATGTTCATTATATATGTTTAGTTTTTTATATTACTTATTATAAAATAAGTATCTTTTGTAACTATCAATATTTCATTTAAGATTTAAAAATTAAAATCTTTAATATTTCCGATAGTAATAAGGAAATTTACGAAAATAAAGATATCAGAGGGAGACTTTGTACAAAAGTCGATTGCTTGGGTACCTCTGTCCCATTCGTGTTTCAACCGTAAAGCAGTTGTGTTTGCATGGCTGTGTTTCGGTTTGAAGGGTGGGATATGGCGTGAATTTACTGGGTACGGAGGAAAAACACCTGAGTCATCAGGAATGGCAACGCATGGGCGGTATTATGGGCGAAACAGTATACTTTGTTATGTCCATGGTACTGCTTATGTCTATAGGCGACGGTTACCATTTTCCATCAAGTGGTCCGTCAGCTTGTTTGCCATTCTAAGTTGTATAAAAAAAAACATTTGAATGTTTGTAATGTATAAAAGACCAAACCAATTTTGCACAATATAAATGTTATGTATGCAGATAAAATGACATAGAATAACTTTAAAAATACATAGAAAAATTCGAGGACATAGTTGCCAATGTTTAAAATAATTTTTATTTTTTATAAATTAACATCAGTATACACAAATTAATTTAAGATATCTAACAGATTAATTACAATGATATAAAGCAAAAATTTCTGTCCTATCAATTAGACCAATTTCCTCATAATAAAGTTGTTTTAGGAAAGCAAAAGCGGGCCCCTTAGGTGAGAGCGAAGTGGAAACGGCTAAATTATGTTTCAAGTTTGCCCGCTTATACCATTTTACCGAGACCCGTGTCTCTGACTGTCATATTTTTGCCATATTATTGCTCTCGACTTCTGGATTAGCATAAGTAAAAATATAAAAGCTTTTAAAGAAACATTAAGAACAAAATCTGATAAACGTTGTTTCTATTTCTTGTCATCAATAAAAATTTTATACTTATAAACTTCTACAAAGCCGAATTGTAACTTTTGTTTTCCTC